ATGATGATCATATCTGTGTGTGACTTGGATCAAATACACCACCAACATCAACAACAACTGTGCATGTGGACAACATGGACTGATCTCGCGAACGAACTATTTCTGCGTTAGCATATTCAGGTAACTGTTTCAACATAGCACAAGCAACCAGTTCGTCCGCATGAAATTTTCCGTTGTGCGTGCCGATACGTAGTTTCGCATAACTATTGCTCGGCATTTTCTAACAGGAAAAAGAACAGTTGAGTGTAACAATAAATGGACCAATATGATAGAACGAAAACTTACTTACAAGTGTGCAAACAAGACAATACAGAAGGTCACACCTACATCCGCCAGATACGGAACATTTACATACGAATGGCCAAGAACATGAACAGACGGTACTGCAGCTAGAGCATCCGATCGCCACAAGTGACAAGAAACTGCTTGTATGAATAACGGTCAAACTGTCATTGTGACACTAAGTAAACAGAATTGAAAACTGCTGATAAGTCTACAAAGAGCTGAGTGATAGGGGACGAACACAACTCACGCCAGATTGCAGCTTTCGGATTAAAACAAAAGTTTGAGCCATCCTCTTTTGAAAACAAAATGAACAGGCCAAAATAACTTGGGATGAACTAGTGTAAGTCTCCACCAATAAGACCTTAACAAACAATTTATCACTTTCCGCTTATAAACATCGGATGGTGGGCTGTAATGCAATTAAATGAGTCACACTGGAACTGCACACCGTCAGCATTTCAAAAACTAGAGAATACCAGTCAAGAAAATCGAATTTCAATTTACGACGTTAAGTTTCGTAACAGCCGACGTCGTCAGAGAGCTTCCTATAGAACAATAAATCGAAGGTTCCTAATAAAACGTCGTCAGCACAGGAAAACCGCACCGAACATTTCTACAAGCACCATTACTATGAATATAAATGCGAAGTCAAGCATTTTTAGTTATTTTTCATAGTGGTCCAAACAAGATGGTGAGTTGATAGAACATCATACAACAATGTAATTGAAACTTACAGACACGTACCACATGACTATACGCATTGAAGACATCGCGTCAGATAAAAAAGTACACTTCAGAAAAAGTCGGCGACCTAAGACACGTTGACAAGGCCGGGTGAACAATGTTGCGTAACACGACACCACTTTGAACATCACAACCTAGTACATAAAGTAAACGGATTTGAAACAACATATACCACTTGATGTCCGCAACCCGAAAGGACATGCATGAAAAAAGTGCTAAACATTTAACCAACACCCAAGAGCAGTGTTCGGTAAGTAGTAGTCGCATCCAGAACTCAGATTACTACGGTCAACAAGTGCCTCATTTGTTCTTTATATCGCTCGGTAAAATAAGTGAAGTCAGGTGAATCTCAAAGTGTAATGGTGCATTATTATTATAATTATCATCCACAAGAAAGACACCCTATACACATGTCTGCTCACGCTACTTACTGCGATGAGCTGAAATAAAACAGCTTTGATCAATACTGACTTGCGTTCATGAATAGACGTATTGATTATTCTTTCCATTTTTTGTTTTAGCTATTATATATTGAATAATCCCTGAATCAGGACATCTAACTCTATTCTTTTGTCCGAATGGTGTGTACTTTATGAATTATCCACTATACAGCCAACTGCAACGTACAGCCATTGGTAACCCGAACGGTTGTGAGCAGATCGTCACTAGTTATAAACAAAATGGATTCATATAGTTGTCAATTTTTTTTAGCGTCCATCGGATCCTATGGACTGGATAAAATAAATGACCTGCATGGTCGTTCCTGTATAATTAAGCTACTACGAGCGAACAAGCATTAGGTTGAAATCAAGATTGGAATTAGGTAGAACATTTGGCCTAAATTATTTGGTGAAAGTGAATGGGACAAAAGAGTTTATCTGGATTCCATTCTGGATCAGCTTATTTTTTAGTGTTTAGCAATGACCTTACAATTGCCTACTGAACATGTTTGGTGCAAGCGGAATCATCTCAAGGTCTCGTGCACCACTAAATCGACAGTCTGAAATACTCTACAAAGGCTCAATAGAGTGAGTCCCCAACGGACCTTATCAGCAAAGTCCCGTGTATACATGTAAATCAGGAAGGCGTCTACCAAACCAATCTTGTATATCAAAGATCGGCGCTTTATTTCTGTTCCAAGTTGAGGAAACTGAAGAGTTCCATCAACCGGATTAATGATGAGACAAAAAAGAACCGAAGAGGAAAAGCTAGATTTCTTTGACAAGCTTCTACAAGACTATACACCTATGATCTGAAAATCGCTACTGGTGAGAGTGCGAGAGGATATACGAATTCGGAGCTACACGAGAGGGTCCCATTCAGAAAGGTCGGAACGTAACGACAACATTAAATAACTTTAAGAAAACCAACCGTATGGAAAGCAACTGTAGTCTACCAGCTCTCTCGAATGGAATGCGTCATCGTGCTCATTGGCGGACGTAGAATCATATGACATGTATCATATACATCATATGATGAGCACGTTGGGACTTTGCGACGGCAGGAAAAGTCAAAACCTTATACTTCCAGCGAATACTAGCGTGAAGAAGTACACAGAAGGACGTACCCTGTCTGCTATAAATGTAATAGAAAAGCCTAGAGAGCATTAAATTTCAAAACTTTCATCCTCCGCAGTAGTCAAGAAAGATGCGAAGCATACTTATCCCTTATTAAGTAATTCCTTGGTTAAGCCACAACGAGTTAAAAACCAGAGTTATCGGTTTCGCAACGTTTCGACCCTCTCGGAGAGCCTTTATCAAGCGATTTAAATCAGAAAATTTACAATGTACAAGCTTCAAATGAAACAGTCATCAACTGGCACATGTTAGTGTGTTTCAACTGCGGTGTGTGGACAGGCTACCAATAGGATGTATGGGTTCACGGTTCACCTGAGGTCACCACGTGACGATCCTAGGTGCGAACAAGGATAGAGAGTTAATGTGTACTTGTGTGTGTATGTCTGTATGTAAGCGTGTTTAATCTGCATGCGTGTAGACTAGCTGGGATAGGGGTGGGTGACAGGAATGCCGCAAACCTCTCCTACGTGGTCACTGTGTTCACCCAGTAAATCATGCCAAACAACTGACAATTCCAAGCCATCGGATCGATTCACCGCCTGTGGTGTATTAGCGATCAGCAAGGCTTCTGTCAGTAAGCGTTCTTTGTGGTTACGGAAACCACTTTTAAGTACCGTCGGATGGTCGAAGTCAACTTGATGTTGGTTGAGGATTGCGTGTGCTGCAATGGCTGAATCATGTTCTAATTTCCAGAGTTGCTGAGGGTCGGTAGGAGGTTTCTTACTACATCTTACGTGTTCTTTGGTGCGTACTTCTAGCTGCCGGGCGGTCTGTCCAATGTAAGAAGCTTGACAATCCTTACATTTAATTTGATAAACACAGTCTGATTGCTCCAGAACTGTTCGTTTGTCCCTTAAGTGAACCAACTTATTTCGTAATGTGTTGGTGGCTATAAATACCACTCTTATATTGTGCTGATTGATGAGCATCAACACAACGCACAATATGTTTTCTCATATCCGTTCTGTTTACGGTTCGGAAGT